TTTAAAAAGAAGTCAGGCCCAGGGAAAACGAGTGCCCTTGACATCATTAACTTATGTGGGTTCTTGTTCGAGTTGCACTATGCCCACTTCATATCGAGGATCAAAAGCCTACAGAACACCAGGAGGAACTACCACCACCCCCTCCTCCTGAAGTAGAGCCTGTAGTACCTAAAGCCCCACTACTGGAGGACACATTTCCTGTTCCCCTGCCACTGGTGTGGGAGAGTTCATCAACTAGACCCTCAGTTGTGGGATCCTGTGTCAGGCAAGCTATGTTAGAAGGAGAGCTTTTGGCTTGCCCAGTTATGCAAGACCAACAAGGTAATGAGCCACTCTTGTAAAAAAAAAAAAAAGGTACTTTTGCACTAAAAGTACAAAAGTACCTTTTGGAGGCACAGGAGTTGCTGCAGTCCTGGGAACAAACCCTGGGGCCTACTATCTCCCCCCATACACACCCACCTCTTCTCCAGCCTCCTCTGAGAGTTATAAAGGTTATGCTACCTTTGTTATGCTTCTTAAGAATCTATATATATAAAACCCTAATATGCAAATAGACCGAACGGTGGAACAACTGGTCGCTATGACGTGCGCTGACCACCAGGGGGCTCACGCGGGACATGGTGGGCGTCGGCCGTGGCGGGATGGTGGAGCAGGTGAGTCGGGGCGCCAGACCAAAGCAGGGTGCCAGTTGCTGTCATGAGGTGAGCCTCTGGTGGTTACTAAAAATTCTTTGCTCCTGTGCGACGTGGTCCTGCCCGGCGCTTGCACCTGCTGCCAGTGATGGCCCCGCTCACACTCACTGCTGGCACTGGCCCCAATCACTCCATGCCATCAGCGGGTGCCAGTGGGGCTGGCACTGTCAGCGCATGCAGCAGCAGCGGCGGAAGCAGGGCTGCCGGCAGAGTGGGGACAGGGGCTGTGGCAGGAGGGGCCGGGCAGGGGCCTGGATGATGGGCTGAGACCCTCCTCTATGCCCACCGCAGCTTCGCGGCCCACAGCTCCTTTCAAGGTGCATGAAGTGCACTGGGCCCCTAGTGTGAGTATATTTTCCATTGGAATAATAAGCCTACTTATGAAAGTAAGGAGGAAAAAAGTTTTTTCATTATCTTCCTAGAAAGCAAAGGTTCTCTGGATTTATAGAAATGCAAGAAAAATCAGGAGAAAAAGAATTTTATTATAGGACTAAAAATAATTATAGTTATTATTCTCATGGCAATATGTTTGCATAAATCCAATGAGAATCTGATTTCTTCATAACAGGACATAAGTCAGTTTCCAATTGTGGTTTTATTAACCAAAACTTTACTGGAATGTCATCTCTGAGAGAGAGACATCCCAGAACTCAGAGCCTGTGTAGAACTGACCTTTAGTTCTAATTAATTAGAAAGAATTATAGTTTTGGTATAATAGAAGGTATGGAGATAAAGGAAAAAGACAGTGAATAGACAAACTGAAAGGGACTGGGTAAGTTGCAGAGGGTTTGTAAAGAATTAGAATTGAGGAAGTAAAAATGGAGAAAAGGGATAGAGGAAGGGATATAACAGGAAGAAAGGATATTGGGGTAGGAATACTTAATAGAAGGCATGAGGAATAGAGATGTATTTTGAAGGAAAAGAGAGTTAATGTAAGAATATTTATAAAAATCAGAAGGATTGTGAAGAGAAATCTTAAAAGGAAATTATAGGTATACTGAGTAATAAATCTAATTAGGTAAATGAATCTAAAGTAAACTAATACAGAATTTGTTTGGTTCTTTTCCAGTGTGTTGAAAGGGAAAGCTTCTTTACAAAGAGATTTACTACTATAGTACAAGTTTGATAGATATCCACCAATCTACCTAATCAGAGGGGGGAATGACAGGGGGGATTTATAATCTAATAGGTAGAACACCTGAATTAATCTGAAAAGTAATCATATTATTTTAAATCTTAGAATGCATATACTTATGTGAATAGGGAGTTAAGTTTCTTATGTATATATAAGGAGTTAAGTTTTTCTTAAAAGTTTCCTTTTCAAGGCCTTTGTGAAGTGATTAAGGAGTTGACTCAGCTGTGAAGCCAGCAAGCAGAACCTATAAGCATGGTCAGGTCGACCCACCAGGAGTCAAAACATCATCTCATCGCCTGATGACTAAAGGACAATAGCTGGCACCTGTGGTCCCCCAGGCCTACACATAGCTACTTCATCACCCTAGCCCAGGGGTGGGCAAACTTTTTGACTCGAGGGCCACAATGGGTTCTTAAACTGGACCGGAGGGCTGGAACAAAAGCATGGATGGAGTGTTTGTGTGAACTAATATAAATTCAAAGTAAACATCATTACATAAAAGGGTACGGTCTTTTTTTTTATTTTTTAGTTTTATTCATTTCAAATGGGCCGAATCTGGCCCGCGGGCCGTAGTTTGCCCACGGCTCCCCTAGCCCCTTCCCCTTTATAATCCTACCCCCTGCACCTTACTAGAAGGCAGGACGCCGTGGTGTATAAACAAATACTCAGTTGTGATTGGGAACACAAGCACATATGTGTCACCCCCTTAAAATAGAAGAGTAGTCACCATCCGTAGATAAATATGAAAAAACATCTATAAAGAGTCTGTCATGATAACCTTGCTAAAGAAGTAAACGCATTACAAAAGCAAATTAAAGAACCCTTACTTACTATCAATAAACATGAACAAGACTACTACCTGAAATACAGCAAAGGAGCATTTGGAGTAGATAGACCCACCACATGGTTTCCTAGAATCAATTGGCACCTGATTGGACTTAGCATTACTGTCATTGTCATTCTCTTTGTTTTTCTTATAGTCTGCAAAATCAAAACACAAGCAGTAAACATGCTTCACAACCCTGACATTCCAAAGCAGAAAGTTTGCCGCCTCCCTCTGTCTTCTGCAGCCAGCAAAACAGAATGGGGGGGGGGGGCGGGGATGTGGGGAAGCATAGGACTTGGTTGGAAAATTTTTAAGGAGGAAATTCCAAAAGGTCGGGAGCTGGCTGAAGGTGACCGCCCCTGCCTTGACTTTTCCAAACAAGTCTGGGTGTTTACTGGAGTCTTTATGCTTAGTCTTCAGACGTCCTTGCTTAAAGGACACTGCAGATGCATGTGTCTTCTCAAGAACGCTTACCCTGCTGATAGTATCTAATAGTCCATTTTAGTTCAAGCTGCTGTTATAATAAAAGCATAAGAAGACAGGTGAACAGGGCAGTTTCGTTTCTCTAGCCAGGCAGTCCCTACGCCTTCACAGAAGTGTGTGCCAGAGTAATCATTCATCTGTCGGTCAGGGTTTGCTGGTCAGCCCTGGCACGTGTGCTCTCTGGAGAGTTTAGGTGTGATCTGGGCTTTGAAGGTGGAAGGGCTGGGATGCCAGCGCACACACTGGGCATGGTGCACTCAGGGTGTGCTGGCGGTCCTGGTAGAGGAAGGGCGGGTGTGGCTGGTCATGGGAAGTCTTGGATGGCCTGCATGGATGGTCATCTTGCTCTGGGACCCAGCTGAGAGCAGGGAGCAGAGGCAATGCCTTAGGGCCCCCCCTCCAAGGTGGCCAGGTAGTGGAGTGGGGATGACTGACCCACATTGGTGAGGGGTCCCTTACAAGGCTTCCTCATGGGTACCATCTGCCCATGGCCAAGATGCCATGGACCCAGAGGGAGCTCACGAGACTGTGTTTTACGTGACAAAGATTGGGTTCATTACTTTGGACTCCCACATCACATCATAATATGGAGAAATTGTACAAATATTTACTTTTATACCACTGTGTTGGGCTCAAACAAACAGGATTGTTTGTTGAAGATAAGCTTAAACAAGTAGGTTTTGTGACTAAGAAGGAAAAAAAAATCATGTATTCACATAGATTTCTGTACAAATCAACTGCTATTCGGTGCAGCTCAGTTCTGCCCAGGAGCCCTTCCTGCAGCGATGGCAATCTTCTATATGTGTGTCCAGTAGCATGAGAACGTGAATGTTGACAGGTGTGACTGAAGAACTAAATTTTTCATTTGATTTAAATTTAAACAGTCAGAGGTGGCTAGCATATTAGACAGTATGGGTCTAGCCAGTTGCGTTCTTTGGGAAGTTAATCTGGGCTAAATATGAAGTGTGACTTTTATTTTCTCTTATCTGAAGAGTCAGTCTGTCCCCATAGGCATGCATTTAAAAAAGGTTACTACTGACACTCCAATATCTTGTCTTGATGGGTCTAATCACAATTCCAAATAATTTATCCTCAACAGGCAGAGCTTCTACAACCACAGTAGAGGAGTACTCCAACTTAAAGACAAACTCGGGGAAGTAGGTTAAGAGATGAAAATAATAGGAAAATGAGAAATCACTGTAATTGGACCTCAAACAACTGTATTTTTCTTTTTAACTCTTTGACAATGTAATTCAAGTTTATCAGTTGTACTAGTTTGTGGCAGAGCCACAAACAAGTCCCAGCGTGGAGGGCAAAGTCCTCGTAGCAAATTAAGCTTAACTTTATAGCCCTCCCTAATTCCTTCCTAGGTAGCTAATAGGCTGTGGGAGGTGTAGCAAGTGCTGCCAAAACAAGGTGAAAATCACAAGAACATTGTAAACATGTTGACCACTTCCCTTGTTTTGATCTGACTATAAAAGCTTCAGCTTGCAGGCTGGATCTTTCTGTGTCCTCATCCAGGCACGTGAAACGCGCCGAGCCCCAGCTGTATTCTCTTGTCTGTCTTCTCTTTAATCCTTCACCACCCCTCCTCAGGCTCACCAAACCCTTGACTGTGCTGGCGCAGCACACTACTTGAGTGATTTTGGAATTTTATTTCATGCCAAGGTTATGTTATATATAGTCAAGTAGAAAATATATGAAACGGTGACTTTCATACAAGTTGGCTTTTTTGAACTTATGTAAATTTTGTTTCAATAAAACCAGTCATTTGTGCAAAAATCTGTCTTGGTGTTCATATAAATAAACTAGAGACCTGGAGCATGAATTCATGCACGGGTGGGGTCTCTCGGCCTGGCCATCGATGAGGGCCAATGGGGGCTGCAAAGGTTGGCGGGGAAGGGGGGAGGGGCTGCAGGAGGTTGGCTCTGGGAGCACATCGACCACCGGGGAGCAGCTCCTGTGTTGAGCATCTGCCCCCTGGTGGTCAGTGCGCATCATAGCGACTGGTCGTTTGGTCCTTCTGTGGTTTGGTCACTTAGGCTTTTATATTTATGAAGAGCACTGCAACCCTAACTGGTTTCGCTCAGTGGATAGAGCATCAGCCTGCGGACTGAAAGGTCCCAGGTTCGATTCCATTCCAGCCAAAGGCATGTACCTTTGTTGCGGGCACATCCCCAGTGTGGGGTGTACAGGAGGCAGCTCATTGATGTTTCTCTCTCATCAATGTTTCTTACTCTCTATCTGTCTCCCTTCTTCTCTGTAAAAAAAAAAATCAATAAAATATATTTTCAAAAGAGTACTGCATTTTTATATTCTTTTTTCATCTTACATAATACCCGCAAACGAATATATTATTGAATGCAATGCTTGTCAAGATACTATTTTATCCCCCCTGCCCCTGGCTGCCAGCTCCACAGGCGTCTGCGCCTCGCACCCCAGTTCCTTCCCACCTTGGGCCTCTAGTCCTGGGTTGCCCCGCCTGCTTTGGAAGCCCTGGCGGTTGGGGGGTGGGGTGGAGAGGAAGCCAGTCAGGTAGCCCCGCAGAGAATGTGGCACCTGATTAGAAACGTGAGGTTCAAGACGCGGAAAAGGCCGCTTTAATGAATCTGTGTGCGAGGAAGCCGGGCCAGGTGCGGCCGATCCGGGGAATGGGAAGGGCCCGGGTTCCCTCTACGCTCCTCGGTACGCAGTGTGCACAGCTTTGTATGCGGTGCGCACAGACAAGCACAGGAGTGGACACGGGTCCGGCCGAGGCGCAAGGACCCTCCCGCCTCGGGCAGGCGTCCGGCCGGCTCATGGGCACCGCCTGTCCCTCTGTCTGCAGCTTTTCCTGGATGACTCCAAAATGAAGAACTTCATCACCTGTTTCAAAGGTACTGCTGTGCTCTCTCCACCTTCCTTCTCCCTTCGGGGAAGGCTTCGGAGGGTCCGCTCCCCAACGCCGCCCGCGGCAGGGGCTGGGCATCCTGAGCTCCCGAGCCCCGCTATCGAGTGAGGCCAGGGCGGCCCTCCCTGCCGGCGCCGGCCCCTGGGGTAACGGGACCTGGCGTGGTGAGCAGCCCGTGCCCTTCGCCTCCCCAGACCTGCAGTTCCTGGTCACCTTCTTCTCCCGTCTGAGACCCAACCGCAGCTACGAGGCCACCTTCCCCTTCCTCTCTCCCTGCGGCAGGGAGCGCAATTTCCTGCGCTGTGAGGACCGCCGTGGTCTTTACGCATCTGCTGGCTGCAGGCCCCGGTTCCCCGCGCCTCTCCCACTGCGGCGGCGGATGGGCGCTGGCTGTGCCCTTCGAGCCCGAGCGCCTGCTGCCCCTGGCCACCCACAGGCGCCTGTACCACCCCGCGCCGGAACGCGCAGGGGGCGTAGGTCTGGTGCGCTGGGCCGTGGCGTCCGCGATGCCCTCACACGTGCACTGGCAGGGCCAGCGCCTCCCCCGCACCATGGACCTCGCCCTGAGAGTCAGGCGAAAGGCCGTGGGCCCCCAGCGACCCTCCTGCCTGTATCGCTGCGCATGAGCCATCTGGAGAGCCCAGATACTATTTTTTTTTAATTTTTTTTAAAAAATATATTTCTTTATTGATTTCAGAGAGGAAGGGAGAAGGAGAGAGAGATAGAAACATCAATGATGAGAGAGAATCATTGATCGGCTGCCTCCCGCACACCCCCCGCTGGGGATCGAGCCCGCAACTCAGGCACGTGCCCTTGGCCCGAATCGAACCCGGGACCCTTCAGTCCAAAGGCCGATGCTCCATCCACTGAGACAAGCCGGCCAGGGCAAGATACTATTTTTTAAAAAAATGGTTTTTATTGATTTTAGGGAGAGATGAAGGGAGAGGGAGAGAGAAACATCAATTGGAAAGAGAAACATCCATCAGCTGCCTCCTGCATGCACCCCAACTGGGGACGGAATCTGAAACCTGGGCATGTGCCCTGAGGAGTCAAACCAGCAACCTTTTGGTACACGGGACAACGATCCACCAACTGAGCCACACCGGCCACAACAGTGGTATGGACACCAATCTACTTCCTGATTTACCTAGTCTGAATATTTCACATCAGCGGGGGACCATACAATATATGACTTGGTGTGTCTGATTTTTTAAACTTAGCACCATGTTTTTGAGGTTCATATAGTGATTTTAGCAGCAATCACCACCACCACCACCACGGCAATGATTAGGATTAGAATGATTGAACAGCAGCAAATTCTGACATTGCAGTGCCTGCGATTCTGGGCGCTGTGGGAGTGCAAATCCTCCCTTGGGGCGGAGACCTCGACTATACTCTCTTCCGGGTAGTTGGTGCTTGCTCTGGGACTCTTAGCCTGTGGGGGCTCAGGAGAGCTGGGGTTGTGCAGTACCTCTCCTTTCTTCACCCCGGTGTCCCCTGTCACTGCATCTACTATGGTGACTATACTGTCTTTCCTGTAGTTGGTGCTTGCTCTGGGACTCTTAGCCTGTGGGGGCTCAGGAGAGCTGGGGTTGTGCAGTACCTCTCCTTTCTTCACCCCGGTGCCCCCTGTCACTGCATCCGCATAGGTGCTGCTCCTTGTGAGAGAAGGTTTATAGATGGGAACCCCAAAGGTAGGTGTGCTTATTGTGAAAAGTGAAGGGGACATTGGTGATGGTTTGTCTAGATCTAACTCACACTGAGCACAAAAGCCCTGGAGACACGCCTCACAATTGTTAGTGTCATGTGGCCCTTTAAGAGAGATATCCTTGATGGTAGGAATCTCCTCCATGGACTGAAATCCTTCTCCATAGCATTTCTCCAGAACCCGGAATACCAGGTTGTTCAGGATCCTTGAGACGTTCTCCTCCGTGAATTTTGGAACCTCAAATGGAGGCTCCGAGCACTTCCGGCATCTCTGGGCAAAGATCCTCATCTTCACCTGGCCCGTGGATTCCCTCTTACTCCAGTGCATGTGGCAAAGGACTTGAACGTGGGAAGAGGCCCAACTGCGAGAGCACCAGGAGCACGTGAACCTGTGGAGGCAGAAAACGAGACCCTCAGCTTGACCAAACCGTGGGCTGTGCCAGAGGGAAGCAGGAGGGACCACCGTTACAGAGACACGGTAGACTGGGTCCTGGATCAGTGCGGGATGAAGTGACCAAGTCCGTTGTTTCTATCTCCGTTGTGCGCCGACAAGCTCATGACCCACAGGTGTCTATCATTACGACAGCGGGTCACATGCTCTGAGAGCCGAAGGGATCTCGGGCACCTTTTACGTCCCAGGGGATCATGTCAGAGACGAGCACACACCGGGACTTGTCAGGCCCAGGGACTCTGTGGGTGTAAGAGGCCGGACAAGCACTTCAGTTTCCTGACTCCAAGCCAAGGCTTCTCCGAATGGAGATTGAAGTGGGTCAACAACTACAAGTGAGAGAGCTGCCATTCAAGCAGCCCCGACCCACAAGTGGACCCAGGTGGGTGTTGGTAAGTGCTGCCGTCTGAAAGCGTGTGTCCTCCTCAGATTCTCAGGAAACCCTAATGCCCAAGGTGATGGTGTTAGAAGGCGGGGCTTTGGGGGGTGATTAGGTCAGGAGGGTGCAGCCCTGGTGAAAGGCCAAGTGCCCCTATGCAAGAGGCCCACAGCGCCCCCCAGCTCCTTCCGCCCTGTGAGGGCACCACAGGAAGTCTGCAGCCCAGAGGAGGGCCCTCACCTGACCAGCGGGTACCCTGGTCTTGGTCTTCCAGCCTCCAGAACTGTGAGCAACACGTTTCTGTTGTTCATAAGCCGCCCAGTCTGTTTTTGTTGTGGTGGTGGTGGCTGTTTTTTAATAGCCCCAAAGGACCCAGATCCTAAGTCATAGCCCCCAGGTTAGGGAGGGACCCTAAACAGCGCAGTGTCCTAGGGAAAAGCATTGCTTTGCTCCCATTTGCCCAGGGCCCCCCAGTCTGCCATTAGTACTGGGAGGGTGCCGTGTCCGCTCTCTCTTCATTGCCCCACTCCATTGCTCAAAGTAGCCTGAAACAGTTCAGATTCTTCGTGCCCCTGGCCTCAGAGAGGGTACCAGAGAATGACCCTTCCTCTCAGCAGGGAGGAGGGCAATTTTCTGACCTAAGATAGCTGCACAAATACATGTCAGCAGAGATGGAGAGAGAGAAGGCAGGGAAGCACATGGCAGCACCCAGGATAGGAATTATGAGGAATTACGAGGGAGCAGAGGGCTGAGCACATGAAGTGCTCACCAAATTACCCACACGCCCCCCCCCCCCACCGTGTTCCAGCCCCGCTAGGCAGTTAAGTTGGGGCAAGATGACCAGTTGGCTGATGGGATGTGGGCTGAAGTGATGGATGCTGCTTCCAGATCTGTGACTGCAGCCCTTGACCTTCCAGCTCTTTCCTTCTGTGCCATGGTGAGCTTGGGGCCATGTGGTAGGTTATTTGTTACAACAGCCAAACCTGGCCTTGCTGGGCATGACGCAGGGGCACCTAGAGTCTGGACGGTGGATCAGAGGGTGCTGGGAAGAAATCAATCAAGGTTTTCCTTTTGTATCTTTCTTTTTAAATTTAGTTTATTTCTGTTGTTAATCCTCTCCCGAGGGTATTTTTCCAGAGATTTTTAGAAAGAATGGAAGGGGAAAGAGAGAGAGAAACATCGATGTGAGAGAGAATATTTATTGGCTGCTTCCTTCATGTGCCCCCGCAAGGGAGGTACGTGCCCTTGCCTGGAATCAAGCCTGGGACCCTTTAGTGTACAGGTTGATGTTCTGTCCACTGAGCCCAAGTGACCAGGGCTTCCTCTGTATCTTTTTTTTAAAAAAAATATATTTCTTTATTGATTTCAGAGAGGAAGGAAGAGGGAGAGAGAGATAGAAACATCAATGATGAGAGAGAATCATCGATCGGCTGCCTCCAGCACGCCCCCCACTGGGGATCGAGCCCACAACCCAGGTATGTGCCCTTGGCTGAAATCGAACCTGGGACCCTTCAGTCTGCAGGCAACGCTCTATCCACTGAGCCAAACCAGCCAGGGCTTCCTCTGTATCTTGATTCTAGCCTCACCTCACTGGGTGAAGGTGAGGATGAAATTCAGGGAAGATGCCCAGGAGCCCTGACCACTGTGAGCAAGATGACCTGCTGGTGCAAAGGTCCTGGGCCCTGCTCTTCTGAACTACAGTTCCTGCCACCATCCTGGGTCACTGCTGCCCTGTTGGTGTGACAGCTCAGAGTTAAAAAAAAACAAAAACGGAGCTGAGACTTTGCTCAACTGCTCCCGGTGCCAGCTCCCGACCTGGGAGAACTGCAGGTTACGGAGAGGAGAGCTCAGTTTCCCCTCCCCAGACCTTCCAGGAAGCGGGCAGTGGGCTGGCAACACGCCCCTTCCCCAGTCCCAGGAACCATCCTCCGTGCAGGTGGGCCCCATCCCTGGGCTCTGATTTCCCACCTGGAAACCAGAGGCTTAGCCTTTGGATGCCCCTAAGGGTCCTATTTCATAAAGATTCCATCCGCTCTTGTAGAGAGGTCAAGATGGCTGCATGTGGCTCTGCCCCTCCATGAGGGGGTCTCCTCAGTGCCCAGGGAGGGCCCCTCTTTTGGGTTCTGTAGTGGGTCCCCTGACCCGCCCCCCCTTTGCATTTGCAGCAAGCCTTGCTCATTCAGCTCTCCTGGGCCTCGCTGCTCTTGCCCTCACCTTCGCAGCCTGATTTCTCCATATTTGGGCATTACCCCCACACCAGTGCCCACTGCCCCTGCTACTGTTTTGGGGTTCATTGTAATAAGAAAACAATCTTTAATGAAGCTACAATATCTTGAGTGATGGGCTCCTTCCTTTCTCTAATCTTCAGTTTACTAGTACAGCAGGAATGGAATCAGAAAGGTAACCAGTATGCAGAGCAAGGAATAGGAAGAATATTCTGGAATACATCCCACCCCATTCCCCACTCACCTGGCAAAGGCCCACTGCTGGTATTGTGCCCACCCTGGTTGCAGGGTGTTGGGAATGAGGCTGTTGTCTAGTGTCAGGGTCCATTGGTGCCATGGTTTCACCTCGTGAATTAATTCCTGAAACACTTTCTGCCACAGCTTCGCATCCTTACTCTTGGCTGCTGGCATGGTGAGCTGGGGGCACCAGTCTCTCCTGGGCTCTGACGGGTCTGTAGCCGGACGTGTGGTTCCCACTGTAGAGAGCACGGGCTCACACCTGCTCCCCTCTATGGCCCTGCACTGGGCGTGCAGACCTGCTCTTTGGCCCAAGGACAAAGGTCAGTTGAGTCAGGCTGCACAGGGAATTTCGAAAGACATGGAATGCATGGTTTCATTCACCAAAAGCCCACCCCAGGAGCTCTTGGGGCCCCATGTCAGGAGGGTAGATCTCAGTCATGCTCTGCTGCTACCTCCCCTCAGTCTTTCTCTCCGGCAGCCTTTTTCAGATCTTGTCTGGACCCCTCTGGATCCTGGAAACAGGGGTTTCTATACTTACATGCAAGCTGGCTTCCAGCCTCCTACCTGGCAAGGGTGCCACTCCCTTCCTCAGGGCCAGTGGCTGTGACTCACCCTCTTCTCTGTCCAGCCCAGAGGCCATTCTCCTTGGAACAGGGCCAGGGACTCACTGTCACTCCTTCCGAGCATGGGCTACGCCCTGGGAGGTGGCTGATGGTGTGTCACCTGACACACGGTCCTGTTGACACTGGACAGGGCAGCTCCTGCCTTCTTGTTTTAGCTTAGACTCTGAGCAGCAGGCCGTTGTGAAAACTTTTACTATTGTATTAGTACTATTAATTTTATTAGCATTTATTCAGAATACCAATGATGTAAATTTTTATTTTTTACTTAAAACCACATTAGCCTGGCTGGTGTGGCTCAGTGGTTGAGTGTTGAACTATGAACCAGGAGGTCATGGTTCAATTCCCAGTCAGGGCACATGCCTGGGTTGCTGGCTCAGTCCCCAGTGTGGGGTGTGCAGGAGGCAGCCCATTGATGATTCTCTCTCATCATTGATCTCTCTCTCCCTCTCACCCTTCATCTCTGTAATAAATAAAAAAATATTTTTAAAAACACCATGACGAGTCAGAAGGAATGAAAGGGCTGAGACGAACTCTGGAGACAGGTGCGCCCAGGGTGGCAGG